ATATATGAGAGTTAATATAAAGAAAAATATAAGTAAAATTGAAAATTATACTACTAAAAAATTGAAATGAATAGTACCTCTTATTCAAGTAACATATTAAAGGAAGAGGAATGGAAAGAGTAAAAGAAAAGCAAAAAGCAAACTAGAAGAAATGAAGATGAAATGGAAAAGGAGAAGGAAGAGGAAATGGAGAGAAGAGGAAAGGGATGATTAAGATGAGAAAGTGAAATATATGAGTGGGGTAAAGGAAAAGAGGAGAAAAAAGAAAGTGAATTCGGATAAAGGATGAGAAAATTGAAAGAGAAGAAAGAAGAAGATGGGAGAAAATGCTAAGGGAAGGTTTATATAGATAAGTATTATTTTCCAGTGTAATGTGTTGGAAAATAATGTGAGCGAGATTTTGAAAATTTTATAAAAAAAAATGGTACTTGAATGTTGGATTTTAAATTTTAGATAAACTCATTTTTCAGCACGTTACGCTGAAAAATAATGTGGGTGGAATTTTGAAAATTTTATAAGGAAAAAATGGCGCTTGAACGTTAAATTTTAAATTTCAGATAGTGCGCTAGAAAATAATTTGAACCAAATATACAGGCTCATTTTCCAATGTAGTGCGTTGGAAAATAATCTGAACCAAATGGGCACTACTATTTTCTAGCGCACTATGGTAGAAAATAACCTGAACCAATTTAAACCAAATGGATACTACTATTTTCTAGTGTACTGCAACAGAAAATAATCTGCACCAAATGGACACTACTATTTTTCAGCGTAGTGCGCTGGAAAATAAACTGAACCAAATATACAAGTGTATTTTTCAGTGCAATGCACTAGAAAATAAACTGCACCTATTTCTACCGTTTAACTTTGACGATTTTAAACATTTTCCAATGCGTTGTGGTGGAAAAAAACGTGAAAAATATTTTTTTTGATTTTTAAAAATTATTCTTGTCAACAATAACACTAAAAACATTCTTTTCCAGCGTAGTGCGTTGGAAAATAAGAAGGCGCCAAACCAAATTATGACACTAAATTATTTTCTAGCGTAGTGCGTTGGAAAATAAATTTCACTTGAAAATTATTTATGGATTTTAGATATTTTATACAGATTTTTAATTTCCAGCGTGAATTGCGCTGGAAAATAGTTTGTTGAAAAAAGTCAAATTTTTAGTAGTGTAAACATTCCTTTTATACAACAACAACATGCTACCATACCCAAGAACTCTACAAAAGCTTGTGCCTTCACTTTCAAAATCC